GCAACTTACGTTCCTCCGAATGCTACTCTGCACCTAAGGGACGAGCTGAGTAGGCTGAAGCAGACCGGAACCATTCAGGAGTATGTGAATGGGTTTATGGCAAAGAGGATACTTGTCACGGACATGGGGGATATGGATGCGTTCCATGCCTTCATATCAGGTTTGCAAACCTGGGCTCGTGGCGAAGTAATGCGGTGGAACCCGACCAACTACAAGGAAGCGTTGGATGCGGCCATCAAGGTGCATTTAACCTAGCAACTTCGTAAACACATTACTTATTATCACATAGATATGATATAAGTTTCACAATGACTTGATCATCCATTGAACAACACTACGAGCATCACCCATATCACTACTAGAAAATTTTATGTAAGTATCAAGTGTCAACTCAACTTGACAAAATGCAACATAAATGCTACATTCCACCGATAGAGATTACAACACCCAACACCACTAACTTTTGTTTATAACATGGATAAGCTCATGCCACTCTCTCTTTGATCAAACTCAACACTAATCCAACACTAAGCTACTCAAAGAGCAATAACAAGGTTCCCCAGAAAAGAATTGTGCATTGTAACCCAAGTCTTTCAATGGCAAGCCTAAACAAAATGGTTTAGCGCTTCTCCGCTATCTGTCCCATAACTCACCATTTGTAAAACCATCACTTCTAATATGCATCAAGATAAGGACTCTTGATTGTATACTGTGAATACGAGCAATGAGTCACACCTCGTTGCAAATCATCTCTCAAGAAGAGAGAATGATTTACATGTTTGATCTTTCGTCCCTAACGATTTTCTTTTCGGTCTCATCTTTGACCAAACCTCAAGCTTGCATTCACACTGCCTTCAGTTCAATCCAAAAAAAGTTTATGAGAGAGCATGGCAATGATTACTTGAACTAATAGACTAATCCCTATAGTCTTGATTGATCCACTTGTAAACATGCCTAGGAAGGATCCACTAGTGCCGTGCTAAACAACTACAGACTAGCCTATTTACCACTCATAGCAAACCCAGGGAAAGTTTACTTCCACCCATAGTACATGGAACAACTTATGGAACCATCGATAGGCTTACATTAATCCTGCCAACTCAAAGTGTAACCTTGAGTTGCTAATGTGCCTCACACACGAGCCCAAGCATAAACTCGTGCAAACGGTACACCTCAAATCCATCCTATGAGCCCAAGAGCAAGCTCACACTATTATGGTACAAAAAGGTAACAAAATCCATACCCAAGGAACGAATGCGAAGTCTTAGCACCCAAACGTGTACCCACTTGGATCATCATTTTCATCTCTGCGTATGTAACGAGACTAGTTGCCCAATCTCATTGAATAGTACTCGCTAAGACTCATCCTCTGATACCAAATGTAGTGTATGTGGTTTTTACCCTTTATCCTATGGTGATTTACCATAGGATAACACCACGAAGCGGAACCTAAACCCTCTTTGTGCCACATGACAAATGCCATATGTCACATGCCACGTGTCCAAAGGACAGTGGTGTGGAACCCGAATTTCAGGGCCTTGGGCCACTGAACGAAGGAATGGTGCCAAACTCTCAAGCTTGGAGCCAAAGAATTACGAAACTGAACCACACAACAACTCCCAAGCATACAGCCCAAGGAGCGAAGGGAGAGGAGCCCGGAGTGACTTGGAACAGTCCTGGAGCAACTAGCATCATAATGCCAGGACCAACACGCAAAACGGAGCCAAACAGAGTTTGGTGCTATTTCAGCATACCAGTGGCCTAACATGAGAATATGTGTACTCCACCAGCTAGCATGGAATGGAACTTGGGCTTAGACCCAAGCCGGGCACAGAACAAGGACAGGCACGCAAACGGGAGCTAGACTATGCCTTAGGTTGGTCGGCTATGCACGACCTACCTACTATCCCTACTATACATTTGGAAGCCCCCACACCCCCCCCCCCCCCCTGAGGAACACACGCTTTGGGCTTTCACCCCAAGCCTCCCTTAGTATCAGGAGTTAGTCTCTAGGATCTCTACATTTTGTAGATATGCCAAATGAGTAAATCTAGACACTTTCCATAAATAGTATTTGGGACTGAAATGAGACTAACACAAAAGGTATGATAGCGAAGGTGTTTGGCAGACACAGTAAGTTATCATCCAATGATATTGAGGGACTAATCTCAATACGCGAGGGTTCTTGTCACTAGCCAATGCAAGACAAAATGAGACGAGAACTCCTTACCGAGCTAAGTATGCTTAGCTAATAACACGTAGAAATTCCGTCCTTATGCTCGTCCAGTCTAAGTACACTCGAAATGCCTAGCTAACTCCACTAGTACAAGAGGGACTAATAAAGGGTCCAGCAATACTGACCTCTTGCCATCGTGGCAGTAAGGTAAGAGTGTCCATAAGGATTGGCCGACAGGTAACTTTTGATACCTGAAGTCACATTCGCGACACTTGGGATATTTGAAATTAAGTGTTTTTAGGTTTGAATAATACTAGCCTGGGTGACTTCCCGAGAAGTCCAAATTTAGGAGCTTACATTTGGTATTGGAGCGGTCTCAAATCTGACTCTATTAATTGGGTAGAGGAATCACACCATATATTAATTGACATTTGGCAGGTCTAATTTGCTCTGACTAGGCTCGACTCAAGGGGTAGGGTGGTGACCCAAGGGGTAGGGTGTCAAAAGAACAGGGCTCGAGAGAGAGCTACAACTCTCAGCTTCTGTTCACACTAAATATCCCAAAACCCTTGAACGATTGGAAAAAGGTGTGCACTCTTGTTCATGAGCCCTTTCCCTACCCTTATGGACTATTTCTCAAATTGTTCACTTTAGTTATTTACATCTTAATTAAAAGGGATTAGCTATATAGCAACAAAGAGAGGGCTTCCACACAACAACAATGTCACAATTATTAGAGATTTTGCACTCTTTAGTTCACCACACTATAGGATCCAAGACTGTACATCTTCAAGGGGTTTTTATATCTCTAAGAAACTGTGGATGCCATATGAATGGACATCAAGCAAGTGTAATATACCTCCATTGATTTCATGATCAACTCATGTTTGTCATATTGGTAGGCATAGTCATATAGGAGAGATGAGGCTAGGGACATTAGATAAGGCATAAAGTTCATAACCATTAAATATTGATAGTATATGTTTGTGGAGTGAGTGATAAAATCTATATAGAATTAGACTCTAATTTCATTAATCTAGATTGCATAAAACTAGATTCTAGTTCTATTGATCCCTCCTTTATCACTACACCTCATATGGTCTTTCCTAGTTTCAAGTATGTCAAAACTAGACTTTATGGTTTCTCAGAGGATAAATATAAATAAATTGCTACATCTTGCATGTAGCAATGCTTGATTTTCTTAATAGTAGTGTTATTTTACTTTGATCTATAATTATAAGCATGTTTGTAATTTATAAATACAAGATTAATCTTATCACATATCAAACATTAGATGATAGAATAAAAAATAATATACTAAAAAGTTTATAAATTATAAAATTTTTTATAAATTATAAATACAAAATTATACTAATGAATAACAACCATTAGATGGTAGAATATCCTAGAATATTTAAGTATATTTTAGGTATATCAATTACTATCCCAATCCCCCTACAAGTTTGCCTAATCAAACCAAAAACCCAATTGAGTCTAAACTCTTTATTGTTTCAATTATGATTTTAGAGTCTTTTACTAACTGACACATTGGAGAGTTTCTTATAATGGCATATCTATATACCTTGACAAAAAAGTTGTGTCTAAATATTATTTTGTATGTCACATATATGTGATTAAACAATTCAAGCAAATATATGTTTTAAATTGATATATCTTGTAGTATAATATAATTTTTTGCAATGTAACTCACCTAAGCAGATCTGTCCAGCTTTACCTCCTCCCAAAACTTACCATCATATTTGATTACTATATTTTATAACATAATCTTTTGAATGTAAATCTAATAATAGTATAAGCATTTAGAACTAGAAATAAATGTAATAAAAAGTTTTTTGAAGAAATATTTATTAGCTATAACACATCTTTTTAGTAAATAAAGTACTAAAAGTGGATACTAAAATAGTTACTTATTGTTTTCTGAATGCGTAATTTTTTATTATAACATTTTCTATTATATTAGTTTCCTCCTTGCTTATTTCTTATCTTATAAATAAAAATGTAGTAAATATTACATTTAGCTTTTTCAAAATGAAATCTACCAAATGCAATAACCTTTTATTGTATTTAGCGAGGAAATATTTATAATAAAATTTTCACTTCAAATATTATTTCTTTTGGTTTTCAAATGTTTTTCAACATCATAAAACAAACTGCCATCATAAATTCCCTTGATAGACTGTTTAGAAGCATATCCGTTTTCATCCTTCACCAGTTGGAAGGCAGCACCCCATTCTAGCTTTGCTGCAGACCTAAGAATCAAAACAGGCATTCTCATGAACCATGTTTAGGAAATGTTAACCTTGCATACCATCCAAAAAAATCAAGAGCATCACGATTGCTCCGAGTCATAGCCATGATCTCCTTGAGAGACAATTTATCCTGGTGCGTTCCTGCAAATTTTGCAAAGAGCTGTTCAAAGTGAGCAGGGACGAACCTGATGTGAAAAGAAAATAAAAATGAGAAAAGCAATGATAAGGAAGAAAGAATCTCCAAAACACTAACCTGCCTTCATGGTCATAAACTCCCGTGTCACTTCCATGCTTTGCTCGGTGGATGTTCTTCACATAGATGGGAAATCTTGGAGAGGGAATCCAGCTCTAGAACAAGCACAAATCAATATCAAACAAGAGTAGAAAGAAACCCAAGTTTTCACGGACCTCAAGAGTTGGATAGCTCAAAGCACCGTTGATAGCAACCATGGCGAAAAACGAGGTGGGGACGTTAAATCCCAGAGCTCGAAATCCTGTCATAAGCTCACGTCGATCTCGAGAGAGCGAAGAAGAAAAATGGAGCCACAAACCTGTGTACGTCTCCCACGGATAAACGATACCATCGCCATTTCGATCGAAAAACGCGACGTGCTTCTGCAGTGGAGTCATCTCGGCGTGCCTGCCTTCTCCATGAGACGAGGAGCCTGCGCCAAGAGCCAAGACCAGCAGCACGAGGACGATCAAGCGAGCTAGCATGGTGATGCTCGCTCGAGAGGGAAAGAAGAACGTACTCTGCCCGATCTTTGCCTCCGCCATCGCTCCCTCCAGCGTCTAAAACCACCAGCGCTCGAGCTAAATTTGTGCTGCCCCGCTAAAGAAGCGATTCCCGACCAGAGCCCTTCCGCCACGTAGCACGCAAGTTATAACGCATCGCATTCCCTTGTACTTCTTTTTTTTCTTGGACACCACTTTGCTCGAGCTCCAAGCTTTCTTCCACCACCGCGCAAGCCATCTCTTGCTCATGCGTGACACCGCTGGGCTCCTCCTTGAGTGTATTGGACAGCACCACAAACGCCGAGGTGCTGCCCGGATCAATCTCCAAAACTTTGTCCGCAGCAAGCTTTGCTCGCTCCAAGTCTCCCTGTTGCTTGCACGCACTCAAAAATGCCTTCCACGTTACTTGCCCCGGACGGAAAGGCATGCCGCGAAGAACTTCCTCCGCCAAGTCGAGTCGTCCGGATCGTCCCAGGAGATCCACCAGGCAGCAGTACTGCTCGGAGCGAGCGGCGAATCCACAGTCGGCCACCATCCGGTGGAAGATCTCGCAGCCTTCGCTCACCAAACCGGCGTGCCGGCAAGCCGAGAGGATGTTGACGAAGGCCGAGTAGTCGGCCTCTACTCCGGCGTGGACCATCTCGCGGAAGAGCTCCAGAGCTCGTCGCCCGTGACCGTGGTGAGCGTGAGACGAGATGTAGATCGACCAGGAGAGTAAGTCCGGGTGGCGGATGCTGGCGAAGAAGTCCCGCGTCTCCGCCATCTTTCCACACTTGCCATACATGTTGAGGATGGAGTTCTCCAGCGCGGTGTCGAGCTCGATGCCGCTCTTGGCGATGGCGGCGTGGACGAGCTTCCCCTCGGCGATGGCGGTGGACCTCGCGCAAACGTCGAGGATGGTCGTGTAAGTGATCCTGTCCGGGGCGAGCCCCTCGCTTTGCATGAGCGCGTAGAGCCGGAGAGCTTCGTCGTGGAGGCCGTGCTCCGCGTAGGCGGTGATCATTCCAGTCCAGAGGATGGTGTCCTTGGAGATCACTCGCTCGAACGCCGCGCGAGCGTGATCCGGGCTGCCACACCGCGAGAAGGCCTTGATGAGATTGTTGGCGATGATGGAGTTGGATTCGTAGCCACTCTCGCGGATGATCGCGTCGAGGAAGCGAGCCTCGGGCAGGATCGAGCAGCCCTTGAGCAGCGCCACGAAGGTGATCTTGTTTGGAACGAGGTGGCCGTCGTGGAGCATGAGCCGGAAGAGCTGGAACGCGGCGCTGGAGATCCCACTCTCGGAGTAGGCGTCGATCATCGTCGTCCAGGTGATGATGTCCCGGTGGAGCGTTCGATCGAAAGCTCTCCTCGCGGCAATCAGGCCACCGTTCTTGCTGCAAGCGTTAAGGATCGCGTTGGCAACGCTCGGCTCCACCGCGATTCCACTGGCGAGGAGAAGATCGTGGAGTCTCGTGGCTTGGATCAGCGCGTTCTTGCCACTCAGCGATCCCAGCATCGCCAGGAAGGTCACCCGGTTTGGCAAGAAGCCCTCGTGCTGCATCCGGTGGAAGGAATCCATCGCCTCCTCTCGATCCCCATTCTCGGCAAATGCCGTGACGATCGCGTTCCAGGAGATTGTGTTGCGCTGGGGCATCGCCCGGAAGTAGTCGATCGCGTCGGCCATGGCGCCACACTTCCTGTACATGGTGATGATCGTGTTTCCCACGAAGATCTCGCGATCGAGCCCGCGCTCCGCGACCATGGCGTGGATCGTCCTCCCGACCGCCAAGAACACCACTGTGGAGCAGAGCTTGAGGAGAGGGACGAGGATGTGGGAGCTCGGCGGCACGCCCTGGAGTAGTATCCTGCGGAAGAGGTGGAATGCCGACCTAGAATCCCCGATCCGGGCAAATGCCGTGATCGAGTCGAAGAGCAGCGCCGCCGGAGGGTTCTCCAGGCTCTCGATCGCCGCCCATGCCTCGTCCAAGCTCCCGGATTCAGCGATTTGGCGGAGAACCCGCTGGGATTCTTCATTGCGAGAAGGATTTCCGAGAGCTTCTGCCGATGCCGAGCAGCTGCAGTAGCGAACGAATGCGAAGATCGATCGTCTTCTCGTCGTGAGCAACAGCATTTAGGGTTCTTAAGACTTAGGGTTTATGAGGTGGAGGGCGCTCGCCTCGCATTCCACTGCCAGGCGCCTCTTCTCTTCGTCCTCCATCCCAGGTATGCTCTCTCTCGGCATCGATCCACCGGCATTCTTGTTTGACGACTCGCGCTCTGCTTAGCATGCATCAAAGGCGCCGAGGATCAAATTTTGGAGTCCTGGCAGAACAGCAATTGCAGCAGCAGCAGCAGTAGCTTCCTCTCGCAAGCATCGGACAGCAGTCACCCTCTGATCCAGGGAATTTCCAAGCTCCTCCAAACGCAGCCAGGAAATCCAAAGTTTGCGACCACCGATTTGCAGAAGCTCCACCTCAAGACCAACAATCCGGCAACTCTCACGCTCCAGAGGCTGAGGAAGCGGCGATGGAAGCAAGTGGTGGACATGAAGCCGACGCAGTACTTGTATCTCATGTCCCAGTGGATCAAAAAGGGAGGAGCGATGATCGGCCAGCCGATGTTCCAGCAGATGCTCAAAGTTGGCGTGGAACCCGTGGATGCTTACACGACCATGATCCGGCATTTTGTCAGCCGTGCCAGGAAAGCTCTCAGCTCTCTCGATGCTGCCGAGTCGCAAGAATCACGCGAGGAAGAGGCTGAGAAATGCATGCTGGAGAGTCTCAAGTATCTCCACGAGATGAGAGAAAAGGGGATCACTCCGAATGGAAGCACTTACGAGCCGCTCGTTACTTGGTTCCTCGAGAACGATAAAACTTCCGAGTTTGAGGAGATTCTGGAGTGGATCAAAGGCGATGGACTCTCGTGCTACACCAGCCTTTTCAAGAGCTTTGGGAGGCTGGGGAGGTATGCTGATGCCGAGCGTTACTTCACTGACGTGCAAAAACTAGGTACGCTGTTTGTGAAATTTTCTGGAAGCTAGAGACTGATTATGGAATGATTCTTGTTCTCACAGGCGTTGGTGAGGAGCTAATGACTGAGTATCTGGCTTCGTTTGTGCAAGGCATCGTTATAACCAGTAAGGTAGATCGCAACTGATGTAAGCTCGAGGTTTTGATTTTTTATTTTTTATTTCTCATCTGCAGTTGGACGTCGCAATTCAGCAATGCGGACGAATGGCTCGCACTTTCAAGGTGACGCCATCTAGTACCACCTACAGCATGCTTATCAACCTCGCTTGCCGGTCGAGTCAAGTACGTGAGTTTCATGTGGGGTTGTTCTTTTCGACTTTACTATGGATAAGACTTACATTGCAGGATTTGTAGATCGATCAAGCACTGGATCTAATTCAGGAAATGCACGAGAAGGGTGTGCAGCTGGGCTCTGATGTTTTTCAGCCTCTCATGATAGCTTTTCTACACGACTCGCATCCTGAAGGGGTTAGCTTTTTTGTCCTGCTTTTTCTTTTCTTATTATTCTTTGTTCCTTCAGGTCTTTGAGCTGTTTGCGGCAATGAAAAGAATGAATGTTCAGCCATCATACGAGGCTTACAATTATTTCCTTCGAGCGTCTGCAAAAGCTAACAACGTAAGTGGTTATCTTCCTGGTTATGTAATTCGTATTGGCTTGTTTATTTCTGTAGGTTGAGAAGATGTTCAGTGCGCTACGTGAAATGAAGGAGTTGCGCTTGCCACGCACATCAGAAACATATAACGCCGTCATCCAGGCCTTGGGGGCTTCGGTGAATACGAAGCGTCGTAAAGCAAAATTTTAACGTTTTCATGTTAATTTTTGCAGAGACAATACCATCGAGCACTTACCGTACTGAATGACATGGAAAACGATAGTGTGAAGCCAGATTCCGGAACAATGCTAGAACTGATTACTTGCAGCCCGGACTCAGGAAAAGCGTTAGAGGTGAAACACTATAATGGCACTTGTTGTGTTTCTGGTGACTGAGTGCTTTCATGGGCGCAGGTGTTCGAAAGGCTAAAAACTCTGGGAGTGAAGCCTACGGATTCTGTGTATGCATCTCTTTTCAGTTCATTGATAAGAGACGGAGAACTGGATAAAGCACTTGAGGTAATTAGTTTCCTTTCCAAGGGTGTATGTATCCTTCACATGTTTGTGCAGATGCTTAAAGACCCTGAAGTCAGTTTCCGGATTGGGATAAATGCAAAGAGCACTCTTCTTGACGGACTGGCTGAAGAAAAGCGCGTGGACGAGGCGCTTACGTGCTACGACGATATTTTACGTGATGGCAAGACTCCAGACTTGTTCTCTGTTGGCAGTCTAGTTGTGAGTGCATTCTTGGATGCTAAGATGCTAGCTAAGCGGCGTGGGTGCCTTTGCAGAGAGCGTTAGGATATGCAGGCAAGCTGGACAGGATGTTTGAACTTGTTGACAAACACTCCATGGACCCTGGCTCCAAAAAGAACGATCGTTTTAAGAAGGAAAACAAAATCAGGCTACTGATGGTGGCCACAAAGGCATGCGTGATACACAACGAACTGGGGTATGCTATCATGATATATTTCCTGCTATTCCGATATGACTCGTATAGGACAGGCATTTGGAGACGTTTTTGCAAAAAGAACAAGAGTTTGAGTCAAGCATCATCTTTGATTCGGTAACGCCATGAATTCCAGTTGAGCTATTCGATTTTCACACGAATAATTCCATCGCAGATAATTCTCGACATCGCCAATGGCGAAGACAAGACGTGCGAGTCCGCCTGGAGCTGGAAAGATGGCTTTGCGTTGCGCAAAGTCATGCTCAAGCTCAACATCCCCCAGTCACGAATTTTTCTAGAAGCTCTACTGGACGGCTGCGTCGCAGTGAAGGATGCGAACTACGCCGACGAAATAGTGGAGCAAATGGAGGCCGATGGTTTACCTCTGAATGGCTTCTCACTCGTCAGGTAAGCAAGTTGGCTCTTTGGTTTTGACATTCTTTGCCCCTTCGCTTTGCTCCAGATTACTCCGAGTTTACGTGGTGGCCGAGAAAGTCGAGAAAGCCGCGAGCGTCTTGAAACGTATGAAGCGATGCTTGAAAGACGAAGATATATTTCTCCTAGCGGGACAGATTCTCAATTCGGCAGAGCCGAGCTTCCAAAGGAAGGTTTTTGAGCTGCTAGAGCTTCCGGAGTGAAAACAAACTAAGCTAACGGGTGATTTCATGGCAGTGTAAAAAACCCAAGTGATCGAAGTTTTTTATTCCTAGGGTTTATATGTTTGTATGCGATGCGCGACGAGGTGGAGGAGAAGCAGCACAACGATCCATGGATCATCCCTCTCCACGGCAGCTACCGGCATTGGCGACGACGCTCGCGACCGGCGTGCTGCGCCGGGCAAGGAAGAATACCTCCCCCCCTCTCCCGGTGAGTTCCTCAAATCTCTCGACGCCGCCAGCAGCGCCCCTGTGCCGGATTCTAGGACCTACGCGCGCCTGCTCCAGTCGTGCTGCGATTCTGGGGACTTGGCACAGGGGCGGATCGTCCACGCTCACATCCTGCGCAGCGGCATTGCTCGCGGCGGCCCTCTCCACGACCAGATTGTCAGCATGTATGCCAAGGCCGGGAGCTTCGACGAGGCAAAGGCGGTGTTCCAGGAGATCTCTGGCGGCTCGCCGGACGTCATCTCTTGGACGAGGATGATATCCTTGTGCGCTGGGTTCGGGAAGAACAGTGACGCGCTGGGTTTCTTCCGGAGAATGCAGCTCCAGGGGGTGGCTCCAGACAGGGTGGCGCTCATCGCTGCTCTTGGAGCTTGCCAGGATCCATCCAGGCTCGCGGCTGGAGTTGGAATCCATAGCCGGATCACTGAGGCTGGACTTCAGGGTGACATAGTCATCAGCAACGCTCTCGTCAACATGTATGGGAAGTGTGGAGCTCTCGAGAGCGCTTGCGAGATCTTTCACGGCGTTCCACGGCACGATGCTATCTCCTGGAATGGGATGATATCGCTCTACGCTCAGGATGGCCACTCCAGGGAGGAAGCTCTGGAGCTCTTTCGATGCATGCACGGAGAGGGGCTGGCTCCGAACAAGGTGACTTTCCTAGCGATTCTCAGCGCGGTTTCTGGAGCTCGGGGGCTCGAAGAAGGGAGGAAGATCCATACTCAGGTCGTGGAGAGTGGCTACAGCGGCGAGCTCTCGGTCGGCAACGCGCTCATCGACATGTACAGCAAGTGTGGCAGCCTGGAGGACGCTCGGAAAACTTTCGCGGGCATGGACGAGAAGAACGTCGTCTCCTGGACTGCTCTCATTGCCGCGTTTGTGGAGCATGGTGGCTACGACGAGGCTCTTGTCCTCTCGAAGAGAATGCTGCAAGACGGGACCACTCCCAACCGGGTCAGCTTTGTGACGATGCTCGACGCCTGCGCTGCGGTGAACGCCTTCTCGACGAGCTCGCCAGAGGCAGTGGCCGGGGACTTGAAGGAGACCAGGGCGATCCACGGGTTGATCGTCGAGAGTGGAGTGGAGCTGGAGTTTGCGGTCGCCACTGCTCTCGTGTACATATACAGCAAGTGCCGGTGCTTGGAGGCCGCTCGAGAGGTGTTTAGCAGGGTGGAGAAGCCCGACCTGGTTCTCTGGACGGCGATGATAGCAGCGTACGCTGGGCACGGGGATTACAAGGAAGCCTTCGAGCTCTTCCAGCAAATGCAGGACCAGGGGCTCAAGCCGGACAAGGTTGTGTTCTTGAGCATTCTCAACGGGTGCGCAACTCCTCTGGCACTGGCTTATGGAAAGTTGGCACACGCTCAGATCATCAAGCACGGCTACGAGGGCTTGGTGTCCATCGGAAACGCGATCGTCCACATGTATGGGAAATGCGGCAACGTCGCGGACGCTCGCAAGATGTTTGACAAGATGAGGGAGAGGGACACAGTCTCGTGGACGACGATGATCGCGGTCTACGCGGAGCATGGCTACGACAGGGAAGCTCTCCAGATCTTCAAGGTGATGCTGCTGGAGAGCGTGGCTCCGGACAAAGTGACGCTCATCAACGTGCTCGATGCGTGCTCCAACGTCTCGGGACTGGCCCAAGGCAGGCTCGTCTACAAGCAGTTCGTGGAGAGTGGAGCTCACGAGCTGGATTTGGTGCTCGGGAATGCCGTCGCCCGCATGTTTGGAAGCTGCGGAAGCCTGCGAGAAGCGAGGGAGATCTTCGAGTCACTGGCTGCTCGAGACGTGGTCTCGTGGAACTGCCTGATCACAGCTTACGCGCAGCACGGATCCTTTGAGGAGAGCCTCCGGCTGTTCAGAAGGATGCTCGAGGAGTGCGTCAAGCCGGACGAAGTCACGTTTGTGGGAGTTCTCTCCGCATGTAGCCACGGCGGTCTCGTGGCCGACGGCTGCCAGTTCTTCGTCTCCATGGTGCAAGACTACCAGATCCCGGCCGAGGAGATTCACTACGGCTGCATGGTCGATCTCCTCGGACGAGCAGGACGCCTGGCCGAGGCGGAGGAACTCCTTTCCAGGCTGCCATGCGCAGCAGCGAACGACGTTATGTGGACGTCGCTGCTCAGCTCTTGCAAGCTTCACTCGGATCTGGATCGTGGGAAGCGTGCGGCGAAGAAGCTCCTGGCCATGGTTCCCGGCGATCCCTCGCACTTGCTAGCTCTGGCCACTATCCATGCCGCGAGTGGGGAGTGGAAGGAAGCGATGAGGATCAGAAAGGAAGTGATGGAGCGAGGCTCTGGAGCAGCGAGAGGAGGTGCTGGTGGCATGAGCAGGATCGAAGTGAACGGCCAGGTGCACAAGTTTGTGGTTTAATCGACAAACTTGCACATCCTTTGCGGCTAAGCTTATTCCATAACCAGCTTATTTTCTAGATAATATTAATTTGCATTTTTAATTTAATGACCGGAGAATGTGCTGAAAACCTCTTCTGTGAGTGCATAATTTATGTCGAAGAATTTCAAGTTTAATAACTATCGCTCCGGGATTGCTCGTTCGCTCCGCTAAGGATTTAACAGTAGCAAGAGTCCGGCAGTGGTGAGTGGATCCCGTGGAGCAGCGCCTCAACTTTCATATGATCATGTTCAAGACCGATCCGACCAAGGACGAGAAGAAACTTTCACTGACATGGCGGTGGCAACGGGATGATTCAAGAGAGCATCGACAAAAGAGAAAGTAGCAACTCTCATGTAGCTGAACTTCAGTGATAACTTGCGTGTCTAATTGTAGGGCAAGGATGGCGGAGCGCAGGGTACTTCCACTTCGTCGGCGTGGGCCGGCTCCTCCCCGAGAAGACCCAGTTCCAGGTTGGCCTGATGTTCTACCGCGCTCGCCACCCCAACAGCTACATCTACACGACCTACATGGAGTTCTTCTATGGAAGTGGTCCTCGACATCGTCCGCCGCCTCTTCTTACCCTCGCCTAGACGACTTGTGCCCAGCCGAGGATCTGCAGCTCGAATCCTGGCAAGATTTTGGGCCGCTCTTTGACAGGTGGTTATCGCTTCACTGGGATGATTCTCTGCCTGCTCCTGGAAAGAGGACGGCAGCAGATCCGCCGATTGCAGGGAATCCACATTGGGAACTGGCATTGGCCATGAAACCCTTCCTTTGCGACGAGCTCCGGCGTGGGCCGACGATCGGCAGGGCCGAAATATGCACTATCAGCGAAAGTAAGTTCTTTGTTCTTGAAGTTCTCTCTTTGCAATACTATTCTTCCGTCTAGGTTTTGCAGGGGGTGAGATGATGTTTCTGGGAGTCATCACATTGGATGGGATTGAGCTTGTGTATGCAAGGCTCTGGGTGTACATGCTACTAAACCAGGTCTCCATCGGGATGGTGGCCTTTGCGGAGCATTTAGCGTTTTGCTCCCCGACAGATGATAGCTCGTCGCGTCTTAAAGTTCATATTGCTTCCAAGGATGATCCCACAACACTGTTAGCTCGCTACGCTATGCATCTAGGCAGGAGTTTGCCATCGCCATCTTCTGGCGTATCGCCCACAAGGAACTTCTCGTTCGACGGCATTCGCTTGCTCAATCACAGGTTTATGGCAGCGTGCAAAGAGATGGGACTCGGCAGGCTTGACAAGGTTGAATCCAGGCTACGTGGCATCGACGAGCGCGAGCTAGAGGAAGTAACCAGGCTTGTGTCACAGAGCGCGAGTGTGGTCCGGGCAAAGTACCAAGGCAAAACCGTGGCTTTGAAGATCATGGATCTAACCTGCTGGCGAAGTGATTTCGAAACATGCCTCAAGAGCACGGTCACAGAGGTTAAAGTCTACCAGAGGCTGCACAAGTACCAGGGACGCTGCATACCACACCTCTACTCGTATGGTTTCTTTGGCGGGGGGATGTTTCTCTACACGATGATGTCGGATGTTAGGACGGGGGACTTGGACATACCTTTGACGAGCGAGCAGTATCAAGCTCTTGGTTCTGGCGCAAGAGAGGCACTGCAAGCGATGCATGATCGGGGTATCCTTCATGGAGGGATTGACAACAAGAGCATTGTGGTCTCGAGTTTGGAGAGGTCGGGGGGCTATGCAGGATATCTTCTTGGGTTTGGACACGCAGAGTTTGTGCCGCAGTCGGGTAACTATAAGAGACAGATGGCCGAGGAATGGCTGAGGCTGGAGGACTCCCTTGCTGTTTATGCTCCGCGTTGATCTTTCAATTTATGCTTTAATTTATGTTATTTTTCATCACTGAATTAAAACGCTATGCCTCTATTCAGCAAATTTCTCCATGAAACATTAAGAACATTAAGATTTTTTTTTCTACCCTCACTAGTGACAATAATGCAGACGTAAATTAAAATTGCTTTCCTTGAAATTTTTAGAGAAATTATTAAAGGTTCTTGAACTTTTCTAGTTCCTAGATCGGGCATGTAAAAACTAGATTCCTAAATTGCTTCTTGGGTTTACATTTGGGGTTGGGTTGTGCCAGGCTAAGGCGATAGTGTAAGGCCAAAGCGACACGTGGAGGGCCGGGTAGCAAGCTACCGGTGGCCCCCCTCCCACAAAAAATTAGGTTAATAGCGTTGGGGCACGTGGCCCCATATCAGCTATTAAACTGATAAGAACAGATACTACACTTGATCTTAGCCAAAAGGCCGAGAAAGGTATGAATTTTTCGTTGCCCAACCCTCTTTTATATACTCCAGCCTGGGCACAATTCTGCGCCTTCGCATGTGGGATAGGGCGCACACATACGTATCTCGCCCTAATAAGGGCACAGCTGTTTGCCACGTAGACATTTTTCAACATTGACACTAATAGAAGATTATGTACAAAGATTTAATGTACAAAAATGTGATTCATAGGTATAGAGACGCCGCAAACACAATGTCTCTTTTCATCTTGGTGCTTGCGTCCTGGAACTTGGCCTCCATGTCTGCCTCTCCAATGGCTTTCGAGGCTGTGACCAGTTGCTGGACAAGCTCCTCTAGCCTTCTAAGCGCCCGGATCAAGCTCCCTTCAAACACCTCCGCCACTTTCAACACCTCCAGAAAGCTCTTTCCGGTGCACCAGGCATGGACTCCCTCCATTATATCCGGCCGAAACGAATTCACGTATTCCTCCACATCGACTGGAACCTGTAAAAACGATCTTGCTCTAGTGGCAGAAAACAAAGAAAAAGAGAAAGAACACTACCTTGCATTCCACTTGGAGTTTTCCAACTTGCCTGGCTGTGTCCTGGAGCTGCGAAAACAGTCCAGCAAGTTCTTGAGACAGCGGCTTCGCCATTTTCGTCTTCTCTTGCCACACGAAGCATGACAATAGCGCGGCAGCTTGCTCTGCTGTGACGTCCTTGAAAACACCATTGAATATCAGTTCCGTGACAATGAGCTCGTCCGCGCTGCTTATCTCGCAGGCCACGAGCCCCTTGAGTTGCACAACGTCGTCCCTGGTGGCATAACTGCGGGACAAAGAAAAATCAGTCACTGTGGACTTGAGAAAAAACCAAGTACCTTAAACGACGTAAAACTCTTCGACGCGCTTTTAGTTCGTCCTTGAATATTAGAGCGGACGCAGCACGCACTTCCTTCCGCGCTACACGAATGGTCTCGGCTAGATCTTCCTTCTTCTGGAGCAGCCTCAATCGTTCATTTAGAGTTGGAGATTTTGCAACTGGATGTTTTGCTATCAGAGTTTCCAGTGCTTCCACTCGTCGCACCAACTTCTTGTAATCGCTGCTTTCCACCTGTGCACCAAAAGCTCACTCATGCTTCAAACGAAGAGTCTCACCTTCATATCATCCTCGGGATCTAAAAGCTGCAATCCGTCGGGAAACCTTTTCAGTACTTCCAGTACGGTCCTCAAGGTCTGCTCTCTCGCTTCCGCTGGACGCAAATCTCTTGGAATACGAATCCGAACGGCACTAAGGCTCTCCACCTAATATAGATGGTAAGAACAAAAACCAAGTACCGATAAGAGATTACTTACTTGAGACAAAGGAAATGCTGTAACTAAAGGTTGCCCATCCTCATCCAGAGATACAGGACGTGCCACCTTCGGTCTGTCCCCTTCTTTCTCAGTTACGCAGTTCACCAGCACGTCCACCACGTATTTCAAGTGCTTTCGCGGCTTTGATTCGAAAGGATCATCTGTAGAAAAAGTAAGTACACGTACTGCGCCATTCGGCTTACCTTCATCTGAGTCCTTTGACTGAGCCTTCTCAAAGTTGATAATAACGCCCCATACAGCAGGATCTTGCTCCATTAGTACGCTATTCTGTTGCTCCACTGCATCAGCAGATCTGAATATCCGCACTAGACGCCCAGGTTGAAGAAACGGAAGACAAGATCGAGGAGCGAGTATAATCTCCCGTATCTGATTCTTTATTTTCCTCAACTGATTGACCGATGAGTAGTATTCTGCTAGCTTCTCCTCTTCTTCAATAAGAACAGAAGCTCTTTCTTCTTCCAGATTCTTCACGCGTTGCTGCATTCAGACTATTATAGCGCGGGATCATTTCAAAAGGAGTGGAATTTATACCTCAAGGATTGGTAAGCTTCGATCAGACTGAAATTGGTGAAAGGACTGGCGAAGTAAGTCTTCTGGGTTACTCTCTTCACAGCGCATCTGATTTAATATCATATTATAGCTGAGATGAAAAGCACTGAAAGAAGAGACAGCCATGAGTACAGAAGCCGTAACATGAAAATCCACCATTACCTATTCAGTGGATCGGCAGTGCCCTTCACTATCTGCTTCGCAACAGCTGGTTCTAGCTTCTCATCTAGCATAAAAATACATACGCCAAAATTGTCAAGCCCTCTACGCCCTGCGCGTCCACTCATTTGAATATATTCGCCGCTGGTTATCCAGCGAAACTTGTCACCATCAAACTTGCGAACGTTCGTGAACACGACTGTCTTGGCAGGCATATTCAGTCCAATACTGAATGTCTCTGTAGCAAACAGGCACTGCAACATCCAACAACTTAGGAAGAAACGAAACGCTGTACAAATATACCTTTACGAGCCCTTCTTGAAATAATATCTCAATAACTTCTTTAAGAATGGGCAACAGGCCCGAGTGATGCACTCCGATTCCGCGCTTCAAGTAAGGCAGGGCCAGAGAGACCTGCAAAGATAGTTAAGTATATCGTTTTATACACAAGAATCGATCTAACCTGAGGAAGCTTTTTATCGTCTTCAGATAAAGAGTCCATGGCATTTCGAAATATGCCTTCAACAAGTTTCTTTTCATCTTCTGAGTTAAGGTCCATTTTTGACATCTGCAAGCAACGGTTAGACAAACACATCAGCGAGGAGAAAGAAAATCACCTGCATTGCAAGATGCTCGCAATCCCTCTTGCTAAAACTGAACACTATTACTGGATCATATTGCCGTGCAATAATCATTTTCACAATCTTCCAGATGTCACTTGGTTCGTCCTTTCCTTCTTCTTTTCGCTTTTGCCATTTTCCGTCCTTCTTTGGATCGGCAATTGCAACTGCGTTCACTGCTTTCGAGAAACTGTCCTCTCGAAACGTACCTTGCTCATCGACGACAAGATACAAACCATCCCCACCGGCGGGAAAAATATAGTGTTGTAGAGGCGTTGGTCTGAAGTCAGTATACACGATGTGACAAGGTTGTTGATGAACCTGTGAAGCAGTAATACATCAGCACATTCTGCCAAATTCAAAGCGTGAGGACTGTACCTTTGCAACCCAGTCAGCGAATTCTTTAGCATTTGGCACCGTCGCTGATAGAAAAACAAAACGGGCGTTCTTAGGAGCCATGACAATGCTTTCTTCCCACACCACTCCTCGTTCCCGGTCTCTCATGTAGTGAACTTCGTCAAAAATTATCCACGCAACTTCTCTCATGACTTCTGACCCTCGATACTGCATGCTCCGCAAAATCTCGGTAGTCATGACCTGCAGAATATAATGACCACTATGTAAGTTTCAAGCCAACGGAAGTATTGAATATGGCATCTAGTCAAGAAAGAAAGTCGCATCAGAATTCTCGTAAAAGCATCATGAGCGCTCCATTGGAGCACTTCTGATCTTCCTATCATAAATGAGAATCATCATAGCGAGCTATCCAAGCTGAGGAAACATTTACCAAGCAAGACGCATTGGGGGAGATTGTAACGTCACCAGTCATCAGCCCCACGTCCGAAAACTCCTCCGCGAGCTCTCGAAACTTTTGGTTGCTCAGCGCCTTGATAGGAGATGTGTAAAGCACACGCTGCTGATCTCTTAGAGCCATGGCAATCGCATACTCCGCGACCACAGTCTTGCCTGCCGACGTGTGTGCCGAGACCTTGCCGAGAAAAAAAAATTCAAACCAAAGCTCCAAATCCAAAATTCTTGCTAGCATACCATGACTGATTCTCCAGCTTCCAATGCCGCAATCGCCTCACGCTGGAAAGCGTCGAGCGTGAAGGGATACTCCTTGGCAGGCTTCGCGGGAGCGTCACGCTTCTCACCTGAAGCCTGGAATCCATCCGGATACGCGATTTCGTGAATGCAACCCCGCTCGATCGCCGCCGGCGCTAGCGTCTCGGAAATCTTGGCCTGCTTGAGCGATGGCGACGCGAGATCATCCTCGGCGCCGCGCTTGGCGGACGCAGCCGCCATTTGCCCTCCTAAAACCCTAAACTCCACGATGGATTATTTTTATAACAATACATTGCTCGCTCGCTCTATCTCCTCTACACGCGAGAAAAAAAACTGTGTAAGAGCTCAAACGAGAAGAAGAAAAGGAGAGATGGAGGTATACCTTTTCCCGCTGTGGTGGTGGTGGAATTCCAACGATTTTATAGTCTTCCTCGCTTTCTAGCGTGTGCTTTGGAAGGAAATGGGCTAACTTTCTTCCTTGAGTCGCCAAGAGCTTGCGTCGCTCCTCCTCTATCACCTCTTTTCTCTTGGCTTGCATCTCTTCTTCTTTCTTCCGGAATTCTTTGGCCTCGTCCACCTAAAACGAAACGAGAATTGAGAGTTTTGAGAGATCAGAAGTACCTGTCCGTGGAACATGGACTTTTTATCCTCCCACAACTTACTGATCTCCCTCTTGAACTCTTCCATCTTCATCCTTCGTTTTTGAGCGTTCATTTGCTCGATCTTGTGCTCCTGAGAAAGAGAAAGCCGAAGATCATTGAGACAAAAGGAGAAACTATTACCTCGGCCATTTGATCCATCATCTTCTTGTGGAAGGCCTCCCTCTCGGCTTTTTCTTTGAGCTTGCGCTGCTCCTTCAGGAAATGGTCGTGCTCATTCGAAGCCTTGAGATTTTCTCGGACTTGCTCTCTCTGTAGACAAGGGAAGTTGCAATCCTCAAAGCCATGGAGGAACAGTCTTTTGGTACCCGGATCCTCTCTTGCTCGGCGTTCTTCCTGTAGCGCTCTTCGGCCTCTTCAAAGTAGAGATCGTTGAGCATCTTCTCAAAGTCATCCCTTTGGCGAGCCTCTTCTTCTTTTCCAGCGGACAGAATTGCGTGGATCCTGGCAACGTAAAACTCGACCAAGTTTTTCAAAAACCAGACCGCATGCTCACTTTTCTTCGCGCTCCTTCTTTTCTCTCTCCTTTTCGGCTTTTTCTGCTGCTCGTTGGTCCTGTAATGCTCGGTATCGGAGCATTTCTTCTTCCTCCTGCTTCATTTTCTTCGCCTGGAATGCGGATCAAATGAGAATCCTCTAAGATAAACATCTTTGTACCTTGTTTTCTTTTTCTTGTTCTCGAGTCTCTAGATATTTATGCACAAAGCTCATAGCTTCTGTTTGTTTCTTCCTGTATGGAACGAAGAATGTAAGAAACCTGTTTTATGGAGACCTTGAATGCCTTACTTTTTAGATGCTGCCTCCTCCTCACGCTCGGCGTTTAGCTTCATAATCAACTGAAATATCAAAAGCCACACGGTTAGAAAAAAGTTCTACTATTGTCATGAGCCAACCTTGTCCATTTCTTTCTGCTCCTCGATCCTCCGCTCCCAAGCCCGCTCCTTCTCAAGTTCTTTCTTTTGTAGTTGCTCCTTCATCGTGATCACAGTCTCCATCTGCCAGAATCGAAAGAAAAGAATGCAAACTCGCAATAAGACCTCGGCTCTTCTTACTTTGTCTCTCTGGATCTTGCATAAACGCTCTTGCTCACGCCTCTCAGCTTGGTCAAGCTGTTCCAACATTAACTCTTGGAATTTCTTATTTCGAGACGCTTCTTCCATCTCTACAAGCTTCTTCTCTTCAAGCTGCAATAGCCACAGTGACATGAAAACAAGAGAAAATAGTTTATCAACCTGTCGCTGCCTTTCCATGTTCATTTGAGCAAGATGGAGCTTGGCTTTAAGATCCCGCAACTCGGGAGAGTCCTGGACGACTTTGCGAAGCATTTCACGCTCGCGCTTAACTTCTTCCACGGGATCGGGAGGCTCACTGACCCACACATCATCGTTGGACACCTGATAAAAATTTTCACTGGACAAAAGATGACAAGAAAAACTCGATACGTCAAAACTCACATAGTCGTATGCTTCTCGCATTCGTTCTTGCTTAAGGAATTTATCCTCTTCATTTATCTACAGACAGACACAGAGAAAGAAACATGAAAGATCTTACGCGAGTGCTCCAAAGCTACAAGAACAAACCACAGGATACTGATATGGAGGTTCTTCCATTTTGTGCCCGATCGCACATCGTTGATCTTCTTTGAGAAAACTGCACAAAACAAAGATTAAAAACAGGATAGCTTCCAAAGTTTTTTCACCTGATGATCTTCCCTCGGCTAGCTTCATCGTGCCTTTCCCTGTCCAGCCGGTTTTGGAAAGCTGAGAAAACCATGGAAACATCGTGTCAGGCAATGTACGTGAAAGAAATGGGATTTCTTCTACTTACTAGTAGAGAGCTTGAACATCGAAGCCTGGAGGAACAAAACCGCCACCCAGAAAGACAACATCAGAAAATAAAAACGTCCAGTCTCGAAATGCTCACCATCGTCCTGGTCGCCAAAATGCCTCAGCCGGGCATTCTCCTCCAGCGATCTCCACCCGCAGGGATATTTTAGGGCAGAGCATGGTAGGAAACATCAACGGCTGTAAAACCGTGAACAGATCGCCGCCGTCCATCCAAATTTTCAAATCCACAGGGTGCTCGCCAGCGAAGTCTTCTCAAAATCTACAGAACAAAGGCTGCCAGCCCAGCCATGGCCAGCGCTCGCATACGGCACTCGTACGGACGGAGAGATTCTATGGCATGATGATCCAACATATCGAAAGAGATGCTTGACCTCGACTGTCGGGACCGCTATCTTTTTCTTTCTCTCTTTCGGGAAGAGGTCACCAGGAAACGAAGTTGTCAAAGCGCTGGATCTTTCTCCTTTTCCGGACATGAACAGACGATCCGTTCCGTTGGTGGGCGAATTGGATTTGATTCATCATTCATTCATTTTGCATCCACCAGCCTCATCCATGGCACCGCGAGACTATCAAAACAGCATATAGATAGATTGTAAGGATCGATCATCTCATCCTTTCCAACTGTTCGTCACGGCTGATGGTGTCCGCAATTTATTGGCCACCACCTTTTCCTGCTAGAGAGAGAACAAGTCGGCCGGTGTTTAGGTAGCTTTAATTCTTGGACTAGCCAAACAACCAGCAGCAGTGCCGGGATTTGATTCAGCCTCCTGTGCCATGATCGTGGATGGATTGAATGCTATCCGGAAATAAACAGACATCGAACTTCATGCGCAAACTCTCTATCGGACACTTATAGTACGGAAACACAAGCTCTTCTCCTTTTCTTTTTCTTTTGGGGAGATTCCAGCTGCAGATGCAAATCAGAGCGACCTCGATCGAAATGAATTGAATTCGATCCTCCGAGTCAAGTGCCAGAGCGAAACGAAACGCTCCATGTGATTCTGGTCAAGTCCCCATGAGCGAAATGACGCCCCACACCGCCAACAACAAAGCCTGTCAGGCCAGGACAGCGACAAACCATCTTAAAAATCTCACTCGCGCCCCACCGCCCACTTCCCTCCAAGTTACCCACGCGTACGGACTGCGTGAACTCCGGAAGAACATCCAACTTACAACGTGTACGGAAGAGCGAATGCTCACCGCAGAGTATGCGTGAACTCTGTAACCAGCTTCTTTTATGATTTTCATTCCCCGGGCACAAACGAATGGATGGATGGAATGAGATCAATCATGGCTGGGCACTTCATTCAATGCTCGGGTCCCTTGTCGGCCATGGCAACATCGATCGCGTACAGCCCAAGTGTTTTTTCTCCTCCTCCTTTGATCGCTCTGTAATCATGTGGTAGAACAAAGCTCCCCTTCTCTCTCTCCAGTGTCCATCTTGGATTGGATGGAAAACTATAATGGAAAACAATCATCTTCCAATGCGAACAGCAGCACAGGTAAAGAAATCTTTTTTTTTTTTCTTTGTTTTCTTCTCTATGGCGGTATATAAGAAACAGAGCTTCTAGCTAGGAATGGAAGAGGTGAATTTGTGTCGGTTTTGGAATCTGGTGTTTCGATCAACGGCTCCTTTAAGGCAAGAGCCCTAGGTAGCTGGGAAGTTTGATCCAACTCCAGTGTCACAGCGTTCATAAATTCATGCTCATGGTTCTTCTCACTGACTGAAAATAATAGAAAGGAGAAAAAAAGAAGCTGTCTCTGGGATTGCTCGCGCATTGTTCTTTCTTGTCGGCCCCTCGTCGTGTTCTTGGGTCCTCCTCTCAGCTCCTTTTTTTCTCTTCTTCGCTTCTCGCGAGCTAAATGGCGCCGTTGGGCGCTTCATGAATGCTCGTGGGTCGTGGCAGAACTGTCACTTGTGTGGAGTCGGGGGATGTGGGCACCCTGGGTTTGATCCGTCCAGGATCGCCCACGAGTCGATTCGATCCCTTCGTTCGTCCTCGCCACAACCATGGCATTGATCGTCACAGGAATGCTGCTTGCATTGTCGCTCCTGCTGGAGCTCCTGGCTTTCCCTTCGAATGGAGAAGTGTACATGGTGATCATGGAAGGGGATCCAGTGTCCAGCTACGCGGAGGCGTTTGGAGCGGAGGAGGTGGACATCGGAATCGGCAAATCCAGGTGAGTGAAAGAGAAGAAACGTTCGTGTAATTCTTTCGTGATCGATGTTATGATATCCAGCTCCACGAAGAACACAGTGGAGCTCTACAAATCTCGTCTCGTCCAGCAGCACGACAAGTTCTTGCAAGAAACTTTCGCTAGCAGCGGCGCCGGCTACCAGAAGCTCTACAGCTACCACCACTTGATCAATGGCTTCGCCGTGAAACTCCAAGATCACCAGGTAAGTTGTTGTTCGCTTTTTTTTTTCAACTTCTCAAGAAAATGAAGAACAAACTCTCGAACTTGACTCGATTTCTTGCTCTTGAAGGCAGACACACTCAAGTCAGCCCCGGGAGTGATGCTCGTCCAAAAAGATTGGAGAGTGAGCAAGCTCACGACACACACCCCCGATTTCCTGGGACTCCCGACCGGAGTGTGGTCGCAGCAGGGTGGCGCCGGCAATGCGGGTGACGGGATCGTTGTGGGGATCATCGACACTGGCATTGATCCCACGCATCCAAGTTTCTCGGGGCAAGCTTTCGCTTCCAACTCCTCCTCCAACACGTCGAGCGGCTTGAAAAGCTTTCGAGGCTCTTGCGAGGTGGCCTCGTTTTGCAATGGCAAGATCGTTGGAGCTCGACACTTTGCCGCTGCCGCCACGGCTTCCGGCAACTTCAACGCGTCTGTGGACTTCGATTCTCCTCTCGACGGCGATGGCCATGGATCGTAAGCTCGAGCTTCCACTTCCAAAAACGTATTTTTCTGGAGAAAAATGTAATTTGTTTTTCCTTTTTACGTTTTTTACAGCCACACTGCATCAATCGCAGCTGGAAATTACAACGTCCCTGTGACGATAAACGGGTACAGCTACGGGAAAGCGAGTGGTATGGCACCACGAGCAAGGTGAGCTTGGACAGGGATATTTTTTCCTGGTGAACATTTCTCTTTATTACGTACTGAAAGCTTCTTTGAGCAGGATAGCAGTGTACAAGGCGCTGTATAGGCAATTTGGAGGATTCGTAGCAGACGTTGTGGCAGCCATAGACAAGGCAAGCAAGCGAAACTTTCGCAAATCTTTTCACAAACTTATTGTTCTTCTCTCGGGAACTTCACACAGGCCGTAGAGGATGGAGTGGACGTTTTAAATCTCTCCGTTGGTCCCAACAGTCCTCCCAGCAGCAGCAGTGCCACTTTTCTCAACGTTTTCGACATGGCTATCCTGGCAGCAGTGAAACAAGGCGTCTTTGTTGCTCAGGCGGCTGGGAATGGAGGGCCGTATCCTCGGACCATCGTCTCTTTCAGCCCCTGGATCGCCACCGTGGCCGCAGGACTCGACGACCGGAGCTATCCAAACTATATCAGCCTCGGCAACGCTAAAACTCTCCCCGGTGTTGGTCTCGCTCGTAAGTTCGTACTTATTCGAAACTTTTCATGATCTAAACTTTCCATGATTCCAAAACAAACTTTTCATGATCTTACTTCCCAAATTTTTCGAAACTAAACACTTTCCTTTTGCTGTGTCATTTTTCAATCCAGCTCCAACTCCAGGAAGCAGCACGTACAGCATGATCCTCGCCAAGGACGCGGTTGGAAACAGCTCAAACTATTTCTTCAGTCCCAACGATTGCCAGGACCCGAGCCTTTTCAACGCCCAGCTTGTCAAGGGAAAGGTACTGATATGCACCTTCTCCTTCAGCTTTATCTTCGGTGGTGCCACCGTCCACCAAGTCGCCGCCACCGTCGCCAACCTCAGCGCCGTGGGATTCGTCCTGGTTGTGGAGTCGGACTTGGCCGGGAGCAAGTTTGAGCCGGTTCCAATCTCGGTTCCCGGGATCGTCATCACAACTTCCGAGAGCTCGGAGGTAAGAAGCTCCATAGCTAGATTCTTTAAGTTCCTGATAGCAAACTCGTTCTTTGCACAGGAGCTTCTACGCTACTACAACTCGTCCACCACCCGGGCAGCGAATGGAAAGGCTGCGAGTTTCAATGCCACGGCCAAGATCGGGAATGGACAAGAGGCGGTGTTCAACAGCTCGGCTCCACAGGTTGCTCTCTACTCGTCTCGCGGC